AATATTTATTTTTCTAAAGAATCATAATTGTATGTTTGTTAAGAATTTGCATCTATGATAACAATGGTTCAACAGAAAGATATACAATATTATCAAAATTTTTCATGATCGTAATCCACATATTGAAAAAAATCTATACTTAAAAATAATGTATACGCGCGCGCGCGCGTGTGTGTGTGTGTGTGCGCGCGCGCGTGTCTGTATTCGCATATTTAACTCTTTGCTTTCTGTCGTTTTTCATTAAAAAATAATTAATTAATCGCCAATAAACATATGACATAAATAGTTAGCGACTTGTTAAACAGTAGCATCAAATGTTAAACAGTCTTCCTCTGCAATTCAGTCCTGTACAAAAACATTTTACGTTGTAAGTATTATACATTTATGGTAAATTTGATCTATAATGTGTCCAATATATATATATATTATCACAGTTATCATTGTCAAAATAAGTTATAATGTGTTATAATATACAGACATGTATCAAAATATTATATCTATCTATTAAAAAAAATTGTGACACAACATATAGCTATATATTAATAATTATTATTTATGTATTCAAATCTTAGTTATACAACGTTTTGCCGCAAATACATCATAAATTAAAGTAATAGATATTATAGCTGGATAGTATTATGTTATTTATTGCGATACAATACTCCAACGATGTATCACGTATAATTATATCACACATTTTCATGTATGGAACTCTTGTCGGATATATTTTGCGATGAATAATCCGCATAAATCCAAATGAAAATAACTTTGTAGATACAGTTGTTCGATAGTTGGAACAATATGATATGAGACAAGTTTATGAGAAATTTATTTCATAATAAATTTTATGCGCGAGTGATAAACTCAAATCAAAAGTTCGAGACTGAGACATTATCAAGTGCATACCATTAATAGATCATTATATTATATATAAGCATAACGAAAATTGATAATTAATTGATCCGATGTTTGATCCTTTCGCCAAAGATGCTAATTGACTTATAAATATTTATGATTAATGAATTAGTAGCGTGTTGCAGTTTATAATCTCGGATTGAAAATTGATTTTATTCAAAATTATCTCAATCTCATAGTGCTCGATCCTTAGAAAAACATTCTATTTAAATTAATATTTTTGAAAAAAATTGTGACTCTCTTTCATCAATATTCTCTCTTCAATAAATCTTCATAAATTATACCTATATAAAGTATACCTATATCCGAATAAATACAACGATTAATAGATGCAATTACACTTTTACGGTTATTTTACTCTTATTAATTATTTTACTTTATTTTACTTAATTATACAAAGTTCCACATATATATTTCCATTTTTATATAAAATTAACTTTAATTTATATATTTATTATATTACAGATATACTTATTTTCTTTCTTACTATGAATTGTTTTGTAAGTAATATTTTAACTGACACTATTGAACGTTCGATCAATAGAAACTAAGAGATTCGCGTGGTAAAATCTTTGACATTTTACAAAAATACAAATTATATGAAGGTAGAAGAGGCACTTCGATTATTATCATATCGTTGGGGCGCATATACCGCATCCCAAGTCGATACATGCTGCACTCTGACGATAGACCGTGAACAGCCATTATTAATAATAATCGATAAACCAATTACAATATTATCGGATTGCCGCTATCTACAGGTCAGCTGCGTAAAAGACAACTACGTTCTCTAGCTACAAGTATAATCTGATATACAGAAACGCCTGAGGTACTTTTGCGTGAGCATACCGATGCTTTTTTATCACTTTTAACAGCACTGCAAGTATCGTCCTTGCGATTACGGGCTAATTAGTCCGTTGTTCAATCAGAGGGATGCGCCTTGATACCATGGATTCCCTTATGTTCCATAAGCACGTTTTATTAATCTTTTCGAATATATTTTTACTTCATATTCTTTATATTCTTTATCTCAAAACATATATTTTTTATATTGTAAAATATCCTGCCCACAACATTAGCGGTCAGCATTTTTACACTACTATTATCCTTCTTTTCTTTAATTTATTTTAAATAAAAAATAAAAAATAAAATTTTAAATGTAAATACTGTAATGTTTTATTATAAATTGTAATTTAGGCATAAAAGCGCATGCATATTCCTCTTATTAAATTAGAAAATTGAATTTAAACAAATACTAATGGAAGAAAAGTAAAAAGATTGCACTATGCGGACAGTCTATTTGTAGTTTTCATCAGATGGAGCGTTTATATATAATACTATGTTATATATCGTGAAACAGTGTGCAATTTCGACCGCAATTTAATTAGACATTCAAATCTGCGTATACTTGAAGAGATATATGAGTAAGTTTAGATAATGCGACTGTGGGAGGTCTTCTTAGAAGAGTTAAGGTACGAATGCACAATTTGGCTCGATCCATTTGCATATGGACCCAAGATTTCAAATCTCAATTGATACATCGAAAATATAATATAGAGATTAAATATTTTATAGTAGCAACTATGCGATTAACTTAATACAAAAATTGACGATAAATATTTCTATATGTGATTCGTTGAAATTTTGATACAATAACACAGCGATTTTTTAGTGTTTCTTGATTCTTTTCTTATACTATACGTCTTGAGATGATCGTTTAATTTTCAAAAAAGATCATAATTGACACATCGATTTGACGCATAATTATGTTAGTTAAGTTATTTAAAATTATTCCTGTCTTTGTACTTTTCGTCATCAATTCGCACATTTTTAACTTAACCGAATACCTAATCTCAAAACTAATTTTATTAACATTCTCAGAAGGCTATGAGAGAATTTCATAACTAGATATTCTACAAACTGTATATTGCAATATGAAATTGATACTAACAAAGCTATCTCTATAATATTGAAAATGGAAAAAGTTATTTTCGCAGATATAGAAGCATTTTCGAAATTTCGAATTTGAATTGAGCTTAATTAGCGAGGATTAGTAATTATATTAGAGCTGCATTATTGGCACTTGCAATTAGAACATTTTCCGATTGAACTTCCGATTGAATTTCCACATGACAAATATTTAAAAGATGAAAAATTAAAAAATATTATTAAACAAGTCAACACTAGTACATTGTGGAAAAATATGTTACGGACATCGCTGTGTATTTAGTGGGCTGAAAACTGATCTAAGCGGTATCTATTTCTATATATTTATATCTAGTTGCATATTTCATTTCATAAAATGATTTTAGCTAACATACTTTCTTGCAATTGCTACCAATTATAATAATTTCAATCTTAAATCATGATTCATACAACTTCTTACGTTTAATTTACATACAATTTGTTTTCAAGAAAAGTATTTCACATAAATTGTCTTTTTATAAATATTATATTAACATAATTTTCTCGATATTACAAAACATAATTATATTTAAAAAAATAACAATCATGCAATTATCCTCTTTTTTTCTATATTTTTACTGTCACACATTTTTGTAAACCAAATTTTAATTGTGTTATTATTTTATTGATATACAATAATAATTTGAAATTGTCACTTAAATAAAAATGCAGAAGATAAACATGATATTTATGCATTGAAATAAACAACAATTTTTAATATTTTCACAATAAACAATTTTAGAACATTGTTCGAGTTGAGATTGTGTCTTTAATGTTTTAATTCTTTATTGTTTGTAATTCAATTGGCTGATGAAAACTAAGTAATGCATCATATATTGTGTATTGTTTCAATATTAGACTATTTTTAAATTTATTCGTTTTGACATTTTAATAAAGCAGTTTTATAATTTGATCTAATATATTTGCTCATATACGTACTGACCTCTCTATCACATTTATTGTTTTGCATTACAATCTTGAGTTTGAAATTTAACTATTGTTTGGTTTGTTCTTATATAATAATAATACAGAATAACCGTTATACCTCGATTTTAAAGACGGTGTTATGTGGTGCAACGTTAATCATTGTCATGTAAAATCGATATCGATAAAATCTTAATTACTTTCACGTAAATATTAGACTAGCCCGCTGATAAAAGACGCCTGCATATCGTTCGCCTATTCTCGATAGTGACCGGCGGCAGTTCCGGGCATTACATCGTTCCAAACCTGAATGGCGACCACTTGAAGAACTTATGCAATGATGCGTGCCAACGCAAAAACATGCTCATTCAAGATTTTCGCCATGATTGACATTGCACTTGCTCTCAATTTATATTGCCAACATATGTTTATATTTTTTGTACTAGCTTTCATGTAATTGTTGATTATTATGTAATCTAGATTTTTCCTATTATTAATGCATAAAAGAAAATTATAATTTATCATTAATTTTCATTGCAATTAATGGCGACAATAAAATGGTTTGTTTCTATTATAAATTAATAATTGAAATTTACTTACTTATATTATATAATTAAATAAGTATTGTTTTATTAATATATATGTAAATTTTGTGCCAACTCTCTCTATAAAGTAAAGTTTTTAAATATCGCACATAAATCCCAAACAAATTATATGGTATCTTATTATTTGATGCTCATTCGAATTATGAGTATTCAATTTATGTAATGTTATATAATGTTAATGGTGTCTGTTGGCTTCATTATTTCATTGATGTAAGACCGCGGAATCAATAAAACTTACTTCTACGAGTAATGAAGCCTATTACTGCAGCATGAAAGCCTATAAGGTCAAGATCTATTGTGCTAATAATTACATATACACTAATATACAGCATAACATTTATTTTAATATTTTTATGTAAAAAGATAAATTTTATTTTTGTAGAATAATTAAATTAATCAGAATATTATAACAATAACACATTTGAACACACACACACACACACACACACACAAAATTTAAAAGTCAGAATAGTAATGTTATCATATACATCAAATGCTATCGATAGTAGCAATAAATAAATACTCTTATTAATATTTTTACGTAATAAAATATAAGACACATATCATTAAACGTAATATTTTTCTTTTCAGGTCGCTGGGACTCGTAATATTTATTATATCAGCACACGTGCATGATTCTCTCGCAAAACATGTAAGTCTATTTATATATAAAACAAATACTTACAGTATAAAAACATCACGAGAGTTATCTTGAAGACCAGAATAAAATCACGACAAGAGTCTCAACACGTCTTGACGAAATTCTTTCTGGTTTTATTGCCCTCTCTTTGATGATGGTTCGGGTTTCAAGGCCTCCCGGTCTCTCACACAGATTATCTTGATACATTTTGTTCCTAGGAAACCCAAGACAATAGGGAACATGAAGATTCCGTAAACCATTACGACGTAACCAATAATTACGAATGGCCTTCAAACTTAACCGTAACCCGTATTTCTCTTTCTAAACTTATTCATTATCACATAAACTTATTCATAGTTTATTATCATTAACTATTTTATCATTTACTAGAATAATTTCTCTTTCTGTCTCTCTCTCTCTCTCTCTCTTTCTCTTTTTTCCTCTCTTATAAATGATATTTTTGAAATTATGTAAATATTATTTTATAATATCTAATATAAAAACCTTATAACTATAATGAATGTATATTCTTCTCTTTTTACTTCAGTTTGCACTATAAATAAAAGATTAATTATAATGCTAATCTTCGTATCTCATTAAATGTTACTATTGAATGTTCCATTAATTAACGAAGAACTCGATAATGTTGATAGTATGATGGTCAGATCAGATTAAAGTTGAGATGGAAATTAAAGCATCCCGACAACTTTTTTCAAGAAGAGAAATTTTATTAGAAAACATTCTTATGATTCCTGACAAGTAAGAAAATGGAGGCATATACTCGTAGGATGGACACGAATAAGAGAAATGATTATCTCTCATCATTTCAGAGAAATGATTATTTTGAATTAGATCGCAGCAATCTTATTGCATATATACATATGTACATGGCTAATATGTACATGTGCTTTTGCAATGGTCATTGTCTGTACCCAACAATTCACGCCCAATTTACATGAGAAATAACTTATAACTTGAGAAGAATCAAGATCTTGTTATATATGTATAGCGTATACTTATTCATAGTAAAATGCATTTTAACTTTTTATGATTATATTACGTTTGCAACATAATCGCAACTCATCTTCAAATAAGTAGAAAGTATTTTCTTATTATATTGTATCTAAAAATATCTCGTGGAGTAAAACAAATTACTGAATCTTCAAGTTTGCTAATTATAATAAATTTGCTTTTAATAATCTTTATTTATAAATTATTATAAGCACACAACTTAACAAAAATAAGTTTAATTAAAATTATATAGATCTAAAATTAGATATTGGCAACATAATTTTGAGAACTTTGCAAATATTGTAAAAAAAGAAAACACAGGCAGGAGGAAAAACAAAGAAAAAAGTGTGTCCTTTTAGTAGTAATTTTCTTAAAAATTAATCTGTAGTTAAAATGTTGTATGTAATATAAAAATAAAATTAAATAAATAAACAACAAGAAAGAAAAGAAAGCCTGTAACAAGTTGATCAAGCTGGATCTTAAGTGTTTAAATAATTTTATGTGAATTTATCTACTATGTATATAGACATTAAATTGCGCGTCGAATTGATTTTTTGGTCTTGAAACCCAAACTGTGTGAACTACACCATATGATAATATTACAAAAAAATTACTTAATAATTTACTAATGCTTATGCATATAGACATCTTATAAAGATCTTAATAATGCTGGATAATATTAAAATTTGTAAATAATTATTATATTATTATATTTTAATTTATTATTATATTATTAATATTGTTTAAAATTAATTAAATTGATTGAAATACCGATAAATGAATAGTATTGTTGTACAGTTTTAATTATAAAAATTATTCTTTACGCGTCTATCACAGATTACATGCAGTTATGCAAAAACAGATTTTTTTATATCTAAAATAAATAAACTGGTTTCTAATGGATTTTTACTCGTTGAATCCGGCGGCAAAATTTGCCTATTAAGTTGGCGTTTTCATTTATATTTACCATTTTTTTACAGTCAAAATAAATTTTTTTTTTTATCTGTTTCATTTACACCACTTTAAAGTACTATCTTTTATCTATAATATAAATTTCTCAGAAAACCTAATGTGACCAATTTCGCCATCGGATTTATTTTCAACAACTAAAAATCTATCGGAAAACACTTCGTGTATTCAGATCCCAAAAAATGTTGTTATATTTTTCAATGTACTGATCTGAAATTAGATTAGAAGAAAATTTGTAATGACAAAGTTTGCGAGATAATGACAAATTTGTATTTTTAAATACATAAAATAAATGCATGCGCATGAATGTGCTGTCGCGCATCAAATAAGTATATACTCGAGACATTCGCAAAGACCCGTAATGAGATTATTAAACGCGGTGTGAAGAGAAAGGGAAAACTCATATAGTGGTGACTCATAGCGGCTTTTTACTAATATTAGTGCAGTCCCGTTCAGACTGCGTGGCTAATCTAATGTAAATTAAGTGGTTGTTACAAACGCAAAGGAATTTTGAAAGCAAATTTATTAATTTTGGCAGACATCGCGTAATAGTATGTTATGAAATTTGCATCGTTAAAATAAATTTATCTATTTGTGAGAGATCTTGTTACATAATTTATATCGTTGCACTAATTTTTTTACACATTTATATATATGTAATCATACTTCTATATATATATTTCTATATAATTCTATATGAATCTTCCATACCAGTTATTTTATAACGTATGACAACTTATTGTACTTCTTCTAGCTTCTTCTTAAAGTAATATTAATATACATAATTTTAATTTTATGAGCACTTAAAAAGATGTATGTGCGCGCGCGTGCGTATATATATACATATTACATTTTGGTATATATATATATATATATATGTCCGTCAAATTATTGAGTCATTTTAAACAAAAACTAAATAAGTGTAAACCGATGACGTAATGACACAAAATAATAGAAGAATATGTCTTCAAGACTACAGCAGTTACACTTGTTGCTTCTCTGCTTATGTATCTTTCTCTCTGCTTTAATAATTTATCAAAAAAATAACTATAATACGAATTGTTTAATTTTTATTATATTATTGAAGTGTTATCAATAAACTCGCTGAAAAATTGCCATTACAGTAGACCTATTATTATTTGTGTCGAACCTGAGGTCAGACAGCGACAATATATATGACAATTATTAAGAAGGAGGCGTGTTGAGTTCGACGTTCATGGTTCATCGACTGACCTCTCGCATCGGGAGAGAGAGAGGCCCATTTCTCCGAACCATTTAATTAACTCTTCACCACGCAATCTCACGGAACATTCTACGATCGTCAAATTTCATACACAACCGTTGTATCTCGATCTCAATAACAGCGACCTTTAAAACTGATTGTCCATGAACGACATAATATGCACTGCCCAAAACAATACTCAATTATTGTAATAATTTATATAAATCTTATTGTATATAAAGTAAATTATAAAGTTCTTTTTGTTTATTTATATAGTACACACAGTCAGGCAGCAAACATGCGGTAGATTTTACGTGTGCATAAGTAACGTATGTACATAATTATTTTATAATAAAAATTTTGGAAAATAGTGAGTATATTTTTTAAGAAATACATTGATGCACGAAATTCTGAGAGTATTTGAATGAGAAATTAATTACAAGTTTTACAATTATAAATTTGAATATTAAGTTTAACACAAAGATTACATAAAGGATTACAATTACACTTACTTTTCTATGAGAAATAATTTAACTCTGTAATCAAATCTGACAAATTAATGGATTGGAAAGTACATTCTTTAAATATATTTCACGTACGATGCATATGAGCTGTTTTCATTTTTAAGCGATTAAAATGTCTCAAGTGGCAAACAACTACTATTGTTATCCACGAAGCTTAACTATACGTCGCGTGAATGATTCTCTAGAGGCGAAGACTGCAGGTGAACAAGGGAGCACTTAGCGCGAAATGTTTCCTTCGCACTTACGTTCTCACGGCAGACCACATCTTTTTCGCGACCCCGTCTGTGACCTCGTCTGATACCTATATACTCGTACTCTCTCGACGCACGAT